TGTGAGTGTTAGGTGTGTGTGAGTGTTAGGTGTGTGTGAGTGTTAGGTGTGTGTAGGAGTCTGTGTGTGTGTGAGTCTTAGGTGTGTGTTAGTGTGTGTGGAGTCTGTGTGTGAGTGTTAGTGTGTGAGTGTTAGGTGTGTGTGAGTGTTAGGTGTGTGAGTGAGTGTTAGGTGTGTGTAGGAGTCTGTGTGTGTGTGTTAGGTGTGTGTGAGTGTTAGGTGTGTGTAGCTGTGTGAGTGTGTAGGTGTGTGTGTGTGTAGGTGTGTGTAGGAGTCTGTGTGTGTGTGAGTGTTAGGTACTTTGTTGTTTGCGATCCAGAACAGAACATCCCGGTTGACACACCTGGAGGCATCATTACCACACGGCGATTCGCTCAGCTACCCCGACGCAAATATCTGCGCTCAATCCACCACAGCGTCAAAGTGATACTCGCCTGTGCTCCGTCAATATCGACCCGTGTACGAAGGCAAATAAAATATTTCTATCGCGCCACATTGGATTAAAAAACACCGTCAGAAAAGATCGTGTTAACGGTTCAAAGAGAGTTTTTTTTATTGTCAAAACTTGTTTAAACAAATCAATACTGTAGCTATTCCAGGGAATTGCACATTCGAATTGAACGTTCTCATGCGCTGTATGCACCTGGTACCAGTTTACATGAAAGGCAGTGATTGCTACAAATATAAAGCACATTGCAAACGTACAGGTGGTTTTGGGCTACGTATGCAAACTCAAACATTGGATATATTTTTTTCCGAGTGGTTTATCCAGAAAAACAATTTCTGAAATTGTACTTTAAAGGTTTTTGGCTTTAATCAAAGCTCAAGAATATCAACAGCCCCTTTTTCAATCCACTCCAAGATGCAGGCAGTGACCAGACGGGTACTTCACCAGTGGTCAGCGCCCAACAATCAGCAGTTCGGACGTCACCCTCAAACTCGGGTTTCTGAATCCACAGCACAATCACGTTCCTTCACAGTGGCCAGCTAGGAACTTGGTGGGGCAGAAAGCTCGCGGTCACGTGACGCACTTCAACCAATCCGGGAGCGTGCTACACGGTGGGAGGGGCTATGCACGACAGACAAATAATCCCTGGTGGGCAGTGGGGAACTGTTGTTCCTACCTGTAACAAAAATTAACTCGTAAAACACAAAGTTTTTCACTATAAATCCTTTATATGCATGGCGGCTAGAGTCCGCTCGTCCTCTGGCTTGAGATGGCTGCCACCTATGGGTAAGATGATTGTCTGGCAGCATTAAGCAATTGGTAATTAAATATTTTAAAAATTCCTAAACAGTGTAAAATTTTGGAACAAAATGTTTTCACGAAAATAAATGTCTCGCACAACGAGTCTGTGTGCAAAATGTCAGCTCGATTGGATGACGGGAAGTGGGTTAAAAAACGACCAAAACATTTGCACGTCCTAAGCAAGCAAGCAAGTGAACTTAATATAAAGGATTTAAAAAACCCACTGCATATATACGCTTAAGACAGTTCCATGAACACGAAGTGTAGACAGGTGTTGTTCTCTCTACATCTGCTACCAGCAGCAAAGTCTATAAAACTTTGCCAGAATGGAACATGTCACAATCAACTTTATTTAGGCATTTTTGGGGTTGTTATCAAGTAGGTTAGAGCAGACAGGCCCCCGTACAACAATCTTCTGGAGTATGAGAACATCTGATTTTGCAAAAACCTTCCCACTTCGTGTTCATCCTTCCAAAAGATGCAGATTTGAAACGATCTTTGAACAGTCGAGCAAATGCAACACACAAAAAAGCACATTGCTCTGAACATGGCTATCTCCTCTGCATGGAAACAAAACGTGTTGTATATTTCAACTCCAGATGACTTAAACGGCACGTTTTATCTTTAGGCGTGACTTTACCGAAAAAAACAAAGAATAATTCCTGCAGTCACGAAAGCTCCAAAATTAAGAAGGAACAAAATGACAAGTCAGTCACTCTTTCTTGGAAGAGACAAGTTCCTGCCTTGGGTAGTAAAGCCAAGATGCTGCTTTATATTTTATTGACTGCATTCTGTAAAAAAAAAAACTATGCAAGCAAGCTCAAAGGAATTTCGATTTAAAGCTTGTCGTGACTGCAGGGATTCATCTTCTTGGTTCTTTCGGTAAAGTCACGTAGAATGGAAATAAAATAATAATAAATAAAAACAGACTCTGTCTTCTCGACAGACCTGTTCTTCACCTGAGGACGGCTGCTTGTGTTCTGGCCGAAACGTCGTTCTTTCGGTAAAGTCACGTAGAAGGGAAAATAATAAAATAATACAAAAAAACATCATAAAATAATTCTCACGACGTTTCGGCCACAACGCAAGCAGCCGTCCTCAGGTGGAGAACAGGTCTGTCGACCGTGGACTTTACTGAAAGAACCAAGAAGATGAATCCCTGCAGTCACGAAAGCTTTAAAATCAAAAGACACCAGCTTATTTACCCCAAGGGCTTTTCATACAAAGTGCATCCCACGGCCCACACAAACCTCCCACCATCATCCACTATCGCTACCCCCTCCTCTCCTCACTCCAGCCCCTCTTCTTCTTCTTCGATGTCAGAGCATGAAGACAATTTTGGCATCTTGCTCCTGGGCACCTCCAGGCTGCTACTGCCTCCCCAGCCTGCCAGCACGAGGAAGGGCAACGGCTTGGGCGAGCGTGCGCTCGCAAATTGTATTTGGCAATGCTGCTTTTTGCGCTACCGATTGCCGACAGAGGACAGATTCCTGCCAGAGGGCCGCAGCGCTGGGAACACTTTGGCACGGATGCCGTCCTTGGTGTCGATTGCCGTCATCGTCGTCGTCTTCGGAGCTGAGGGTGGACTGTCTCTTCACTGGACGAGCGCTGCAGCGTCGTCTCGCTGGAGATCGTGGTGGACACGCCATGCTCTTCGATTCCACTCAATAGCAGTCGCTTTTTGGCTTCTGGGACTCCCAGTTCATCCAAGTCCTAAATCCAGCGAAATACAAAAAATATGCACACCACACACACACTAACTTGTGTTCAGCGATACAACATTGATAATTGTTTTTTTACCCTTCTATCTGGCAACAAAACTGACACCTTTTTACAAGGAGTCATGTTTGCATAGACCGCAATACCTTGCAGTCATAATACAAACAAAAGACATAACTCTGATAATGTGCACTGTCCATGAAGTTGATTGGTCCACACCCGAGGACAAGTATTGTGGTCTATACAAACATGACTCCTTGTAAAAAGGTGTCAATTTTGTTGCCAGATAGAAGGGTAAAAAAACAATTATGATATTTTTACTGGCAAATGAGGTTCCCATAGTGTACGATACAACATTCTTCAAATTTCTGACGACGTGTATTCCTCAGAGCAATTAATGTACAAAATCAGTCGGTATTACCGGTAGGAACCACCTGGTTCCACCAGCCCACAGGGGATGATTGTGTCTGTCCGTCGTGCATCCAAAAATGGGAGGGGTGGGGCTGGGTGGGGAGGGGAGGGTGGGGAGGGGCTGGTGGGGAGGGGAGGGTGGGGAGGGGCTGGGTGGGGAGGGTGGGGTGGGGCTGGGTGGGGAGGGGCTGGTCACCCCGTGGTGCCCTTATAAAACTCAACGTTTAACCTACTCACGCCGGCTTGTGCCCCGCCCTCACAGTCGGGCATATTTGCGGAATACACCCACGCCGCCGTTGACCCTGGCCATTGACCGAGCAACCCCAACAGTTCCTACCCGCTCCCTCCGCAGGAGGAATGTGTTTGTTTTGTACCCACTACTGGATCAGGACTCCTCAGCCTCCTCACTCGAGCTATGTGACCACGATCCATCTATCAACGACACACGAACTAATCTTCTCACAACTCGAATCTCTGTGGTGGTCATCCTCTTGGTGATGTGTGCTCTACTTTGGATGGCCACTCCAACACCGTTCTTGTTTCCCAGCCACAATGCAGTCCAGTGATGTTCCCTTGCCCAAGCCCATCTACTTTTTTTGCAGTTGTCAATGTTTCTTATTTGCATGTTTTGGTATCCACGTGTAATGGGTTCCGGAGACACTTGTAGAGGTAACTTCTTTATTACAATACAACACTCCAACAGTCCTGATACTCTGTTACAGCCTAGGTACACAGCCTAAGTACACAGCCTAGGTACACTACTCTGGCTACGCTCTGGGGTCCTCCGGCTACAATTACCCTAGGGGAGGCTACCTGACCCGACCCAGCCAAGGTGTGGGTCTGGACTCTGGCTTCCTCGGAACTCGCCCTCACAAGGACGTAGAGCCGGGAGTCCCAGAGTCCCACCACTGGCCCTCACAGCGTCCCGGCCCTTACAAGGACAAGCGGGACGAGGGGGTCCAGGGTCCTAAGCTGGCTGGCTGGCGGGTCTTGAGCTGCGACTGGCCCCGATCGTCCAGGGAGCTGCCCTTTTATGCCTCGTGCCCAACGAGGGGTGGGGTTGTGTGCGCCCCCAGGTATCCCACAGAGCACACACAGCCCCCCCGTTGGTGGCGCCAAGGGGCTTAACTGTCTGGGGTGCCTGGGATCCTAGCGCCTGCCGCCAAGGGCTTCTCTGCCTAGGGTCCCAGAGCCCCCTCTTGTGGCACTACAATCCTCACTACTCACCACTCACCACTCACCCTCACCACTCAGCACTCACGCTCACCACTCACCTTCACCACTCACCCCTCTCCCTCACCACTCACCCTCACCACTCACCCTCACCACTCACCCTCACCACTCACGCTCACCACTCACCCTCACCACTCACCCTCACCACTCACCCCTCTCCCTCACCACTCACGCTCACCACTCACCCTCACCACTCACCCTCACCACTCACCCTCACCTACACACGTATTAACTCTTTACAAGTTTAATTCCAACCTTCCATCTTCTCCATGCTTCTTTGTGCATTTTTTATGTTGCAGAAAAACTTGCACAACTTAAAAATAAATCCCAATCCTGTAAACGTAAAAAAACACGCGTAGTTTGCATGGAAGCGTCCGTAGGAACTTGCCTGCAGAGTAACGTCCATCAGCTGTTGGACACTCGACAATCCACGTGAAGTGAAATTCTCCAAAAACTCCAAGCAGTCTATTTGTTTCAGGAAGCTTGAGACACAAAAAAAAACAACACACACAAGGCTCCAAAATGTTAATACCAAATACAAGAAGCACGAAAAAGTACTTTGTACGGCTGAATTACATTAACATTTTTACTCCATCAACATTGCGATTAGAAATAACATGTGAAGCAACACTTACATTGCTTGTACTGTATATCCCTATGGAAAATAATGACATTTTTTATTGGAAATCCAAGTGCAAAATCAGCCCAAACTGCATTACGAACTTTGCTTTTCGATTTAAAGCTTTCGTGACTGCAGGGATTCATCTTCTTGGTTCTATCGGTAAAGTCACGTAGGAGGGAAGTAATAAAATAATAAAAATTAAATAATAAAAATAAAACATAATAAAATAATTCTCACGACGTTACGGCTGCTTGCGTTGTGGCTGAAACGTCGTGAGAATTATTTTATCATGTATATTATATTATAATATTATATTATTTTATGATGTTTTATTTTTATTATTTTATTACTTCCCTTATACGTGACTTTACCGAAAGAACCAAGAAGATGAACTTTGCTTTGTTTTAATTCACCCACCGATTTAAGTATTGTAGTCGAGTATACACAGATAAAACTAAACACTTGAAGAACCCAGACTCGTATATAATAAAGGAGTGTTATAAACAACGCAAGTCAACTAAAAATATCTAATGCAGTGTAGAGTGCTCATCAGAATATCCGAGGCCAATACCAACCGACCTACCCAGTGACTAGGGAAGATGTTGCAGCGTAGAATACGTCAAGGATAAGCCATTTTAATAAAGCAGTTATACATCATGAAATAGAATGGAGCGTGCAGACGCAACAGTAGAAAAGGTTTAGTAGTACAGTGCATATTATTATCATCATCAGAGTTGCTTCTTTCTGTTTGCATTTTTGACTGCTTGTGTTGTGGATATTGCAAACATGATGCCTTGTATAAAGGTGTCAGTTTTGTACCAGTTTAAAAGGGTAAAAACCTACTACTATATTTTGCCACCGCTAAAAGAGATCTCTCATAGAGTAGAAAAGGTTATTTCAGCAAAGAATCCCTTTCATTTATTTGTAATTTTTTTCAGAGCGTGAATGATGATGATCTTTTTGCTTCTTTCGGTAAAGTCACGTAGAAGGAAAGCAACATTAGTATATTATTTTATTATTATTATTATTTTATTATGTTTTATTTTTATTATTCTATTACTTCCCTTCTACGTGGTGACTTTACCGAAAGAACCAAGAAGATGAATCCCTGCAGTCACGAAAGCTTTAAATCGAAAAATGACGATGATGTTTAAAGGTGGCGACGATGATGCACCTAAAGGGCACTTACTTGTAAAGAGCGTTGCCAGGCTTGCCGCTGTCCGGCAGGGTTCCAAGCCGGGCCCGTGGGTTGTCTCCGTCCGGTGGCCGTGGGGGACCATTGGATCCACTCGCTTCACCCGTCACAACATCCTGTGCAACGCCTGCAACCAGTGGATGAGCATTCGCAATAAAACCATTTACACCTCAACACATATACGAGTAATATTGAATTCATCCTCTTGGTTCTTTCGGTAAAGTCATCACGTAGAAGGGAAGTAATAAAATAATAAAACTTCATAAAATAATTCTCACGACGTTTCGGCCACAACGCAAGCAGCCGTCCTCAGGTGGAGAACAGGTCTGTCGGGAAGACAGCGTCTGACAGACCTGTTCTTCACCTGAGGACGGCTGCTTGCGTTGTGGCCGAAACGTCGTGAGAATTGTATTTTATCATGGAATTGTATTTTATCATGGACACAGGTCTGTCAGAAAGACAGCGTCTGACAGACCTGTTCTTCACCTGAGGACGGCTGCTTGCATTGTGGTCGAACGTCGTGAGAATTGTATTTTATTATGTTTTATTTTATTATTTTATTACTTCCCTTCTACGTGACGACTTTACCGAAAGAACCAAGAAGACTGCGTATTACTTTGTGGCAAATTGTGTCGCGTCTTTCAATTCTACCGCATGCCACGTTCCGTGCAGAGAAATGTGCTGCGCCGAGCAGGGAGAGCTTGCGTCACCTGATGAGGAACCTTCGCCGGCACTGGAGGATCCCTGGCTGCCGGCCAAGACTTCCTGTGAACACTCCCTGCGGTGTCGGCTGAGGTTGGACGGCCTGCCACGCAATTCCGTCACGTATCTGGGAGGGAGAAAAAACCCAAAAAATTAACCCTCTTGATATGCAAATTATTTTGTCAAGGCGCCCTTTCCCCCCCTTCCAACCCAGCGTATATACATGCTCCAAGCCTGGTGGTGTTTCATTCAGACGCTGTCGCCTCGACAGACCTGGTTTTCACCTGAGGACGGCTGCTTGCGTTGTGGCCGAAACGTCGTGAGAATTATTTTATTATTTTTCTTTTTATTATTTTATTACTTCCCTTCTGTTGCTACCATTTAATTACAGCAGCAATCGGGAACTTCTCTCGTACGAGCAGCGATTGTCTATTTCGTGTTCACGTACTGTTGTTGCTGCAGGTTGCGCAACACATTGGCATCCGTGGGCAGCGTTCGGATCAGCTCCAGGTTTTCCTTGATTTTCTTTAATATTTCAAAATGTTCTCTCCCGTGCACCTACATACATACAGACCGCAGAGCAAATTCTTTAAAACATCAAATGCTTATTGTGACATGTGATTGCGAGGAATTTCAACGAAAGCAGGTAACTTACCAGGAGGCGAAATATGTCTTCTTGGTCGGATGGCCAATTGCTGCCACAGTTGCTTGCAGTCATCAGCATGTCGTACACCACTTTCACGCAGCCTGAGGATTTGGTTAAGTGGCAAAAAGCGGACAATTTCTTTCAGAATAATACATTGAAATGATGTCATCATGGGACCTCCTTTGCCAGTAGCAAAATATACCAATAGGGTTTTTCCCCTTTTTTTTTTCTGGCAACAAAATTGACACCTTTTGTAAGGAATCATGCTTACATTAACCACAATACCTGCAGTCAAATGCAAACAAAAAACACAACTCTGATAATTTATGCATTGTCTTTGAAACGGATTGGTCCACACCAGAGACAGCTTTCTTTAGAGCTTAGTCTCATATGGTGTTCGACCAGATGACGCCAAAAGGCGTCATCATGGGACCTCCTTTGCCAGTACCAAAATATACTCATAGGGGTTTTCACCTTTTTTCTGGCAAGAAAACTGACACCTTTTGCAAGGAATCATGCTTACATTAACCACAATACTTGGCGTCATCTGGTCGAAAACCATATGAGACGAGACTCTAAAGAAAGCTGTCTCTGGTGTGGACCAATCAGTTTCAAAGACAATGCATACATTATCAGAGTTGTGTTTATTGTTTGCATTTGACTGCAGGTATTGTGGTTAATGTAAGCATGATTCCTTGCAAAAGGTGTCAGTTTTGTTGCCATAAAAAAGGGGAAAACCCCTATTAGTGAAATTATATAATTTACAAACACCTCAAATATGTCTTAATAGCTAGACAGCATGTGTGTGTGAACAAGGGGCAGTCAAAGTGATCACCTTGGGAGCTTGGATCAGAAGCCGCCTCTCCACTCGGTCGCTGACTGCTGCCAGAAGACACCTTAGGCACTTGTGGGGTGTGCTCAACTGGCTGAGCCTGTGGAGACTGACAAGTCTGGGTTGCTGCCTCTGCCAAGGCAGGAGGATACTGCTGCACAGACTGAGCTGCATTCTGCGTGGTGAGTGAAGGAGCCTTCCAATTGTTTGGAGACTGCTGCTGCTGCTGCTGTTGCAGCTCCTCACCGTCCTGATGCATGCACTGCTCGTCCATTTTGATATCTTGGAGATTTGAAGCTTTCACGACTGCAAGGAATCATACTCTTAGTTTTTTCGGTAAAGTCACGTAGGTAAAAAATGAAATTAAAATAAAATAAAAATCACGACGTTTCAGAAGCAACACAAGCTTCCGTCTTCAGGTGAAACATATTTTGCTGTGACAGTTTCACCTGAAGACGGAAGCTTGTGTTGCTTCCGAAACGTCGTAATTAATTTTATTTTTATTAATTTTATTTCATTTTTCACCTACATTTTTACATCTCTCCCCGGCGAAGCACACACTCGGGTCTCACAGCAGAATCGGCCCAGTACCTGGCCACTAAAACAAATGGCCAGAAAACAAATGCATTAAAACAATTTTTGTTTTATGGGCAGCCATTGTAAGGCATGTCTTTACTTAACCCGCCAAAAGAGAATTTCAAGAAATTACAGGAAAAGATTAAATAGTTTAAAAACATTACAATGTCTCTTCAACCACGACTATAGAGACATGGTAATCGCAATAATTGTACACTGAGACATTTTCAATGTTCAGCCCTATAAAACTGGCAGCAGACATTGTATGTAGCTAGGGTTCTCAAGTTTCGTACATAACAGGATAAACTCCACACCCTCGAAATGGCATTGTGCCGCCCATTCACTAGACTGACCAATGGCATTGTAGCTAGGTAAAAATTAACCCGTAAAAACAAAGTTTTTCACTCTAAATCCTTTATATGCGTGGCGGCTAGAGTCCTCTCGTCCTCTGGCTTGAGATGGCTGCCACCTATGGGTCAGATGATTGTCTGCCAGTATTAAGCAATTGGTAATTAAATATTTAATTAGTTTTCCCTAAACAGTGTAAAATTTGGGAAACATTTTTCACGAACATTAATTGTCTCGCACAACGAGTCTGTGTGCAAAATGTCAGCTCGATTGGATCACGGGAAGTGGGTTAAAAAACGACCGAAAGATTTGCACGGTCGTAAGCAAGCAAGCACGCAAGCAAGCACGCAAGCAAGCAAGCGAACTTAATATAAAGGATTTAATAAGTATAACCCGTAAAAACGTTTTTCACTATAAATCCTTTATATGCGTGGCAGCGAACTTAATATAAAGGATTTAAAATATATTCGCCTGTGGAGGATGCGGGGATCGATCCCGCGACCTTTGGCATGGGAAGCGAGGGCGCTACCAACTGCGCTACTCCGCCACGGCCTGTGGAGGGGTTACGCTCTGGGCTCTTATACTGTGACGTTCAGCCAAAGCCATGAATGAGTTCTATTTGAATATATGTAATATAATTTTTTTTTCCTAAAAAGTGTAAAATTTAGGAATTTTTTTTCACGAAAATTAATTGTCACGCACAACGAGTCTGTGTGCAAAATGTCAGCTCGATTGGATCACGGGAAGTGGGTTAAAAAACGACCGAAAGATTTGTACGGTCCTAAGCAAGCAAGCAAGTGAACTTAATATAAAGGATTTAAAAATACAACTCTCACAGCAAGTGTCATCATCATCAGAGCCATTAGCGATCCGATTAAATTTTCCAAAACAAGTCGTTGATTACAAGGGTAGTTATTCGGGCGAAACAGCGATTTGATAACCTGTACGATATTTTCGGAAAATATAAAGATTACAGAATAACGTTATTCTAAAACAATATGTATTAAAAAAACTCCCTTGGGGGAAACTGTGTGAGACCCCAAGACTTTGCCCAACAGTTGGCCGACAGAGTTGTAAACGGATAAATAAACGACCCCGTAAGAGAAACCAAATACTGTGATAACATTTAATGTTACATTTTTTTCCCACACAAATTAGTGCACAAGAACCTGAAACTTTGAGAGCAGGTTCACAGGCCGTTCGCACAGCCCAGCTGGAAAATTAGCTTTGGGATTAAATGGAAGTTCCAACGTTAATTATCTTCCGGTGTGGCGAGCCTAATTAACCACAAACATCCAATTAATTAATCAATCAAGCGCTCGTGATTTCCTCGGCTACCCAGTGAATGCTTGTCTTGTTAATTAATTTATAAAACCGCACGTGTATTTAGTTTCTGTATCTCCAATCTGCTCACGTCGACACCATTATAACGAGGGTGCCAATTTTATGTTTAAAAAATTAACTCGTAAAAACAAAGTTTTTCACTATAAATCCTTTATATGCGTGGCATCGGTTTTATTTTATTATTCATTTCTGTTTTTCATGAGTAAGAGTTTCATTTTTATCACATTGCTTTTTTAAATTAAATATGACATTTTTTTTTCCCTAAAAAGTGGAAAATTTTGGGAAAAAAATTTCACGAAAATAAATTGTCACGCACAACGAGTCTGTGTGCAAAATGTCAGCTCGATTGGATCACGGGAAGTGGGTTAAAAAACGACCGAAAGATTTGCACGGTCGTAAGCAAGCAAGCAAGTGAACTTAATATAAAGGATTTAAAAAGCAATCACAGATGACGTTACTCAGAGTTAAATGAGCAAAAGGCAAACATCTATGAATCATCGTGGCCAGTCGAAGCTTGCCACTCACTCTTAGCTAAATAAATGACAATCTCCAACGATACTAAGAGGTTCATCTTCTTGGTTCTTTCAGTAAAGTCACGTAGAAGGGAAATAATAAAATAATAAAAATAAAACATAATAAAATATAATATTTTATTGTATTATGTTTTATTTTATTACTTCCATTCTACGTGACTTTACCGAAAGAACCAAGAAGATGAATCCCTGCAGTCACGAAAGCTTTAAATCGAGATATTAAGAGGTCTTTAACATTCCTATTCAATCTAGGATTGTCTTGATAATTGTTTTTTTACCCTTCTATCTGGCCAACAAACTGACAACCTTTTATACAAGGAGTCATGTTTGCATAGACACCAATACCGCGGTCGTAATGCAAACAAAAAACACAACTCTGATAATGTATGTGCACTGTCCTTAAATTAAACACAATTGCATTTTTAAAAAATTCAAATAAAGCCCGAAGTCAACTCACGTCACACCGCAATTTGTTAATTGAATGAGCACGTTGCTTAATTAATTGGCCTCAAGGTCAACCCCTCAGGCTAATTAACAGCTGACATAATTAACGACTCAATTTGGCGGATTATTCAACGAGAGATAATTAAATATCGTAGTGAACGCGTTGAACTTTAACAAGCACGGGTTGATCATCATCATCATTATTATTCTATTTTATTTGTCGAGATTTTTGTTTACTAATCTTGGAGCTCACTCACAACTCACCCTCACCACTCACTCTCACCACCCACCCTCACCACTCACCCTCACCCCTCACCACTCTCTCACCACTCACCCTCACCACCCACCACTCACCCTCACCACTCACCCACCCCTCACCCTCACCACTCTCTCACCACTCACCCTCACCACCCACCACTCACCCTCACCACTCTCTCACCACTAACCCTCACCACTACCCTCACCACTCACGCGCACCACTCACGCTCACCACTCACCCTCACCACTCACCCTCACCACTCACCCTCACCCCTCACCACTCACCCTCACCACTCACCCTCACCACCCACCACTCACCCTCACCACTCACCACTCACCCTCACCACTCACCCTCACCACTCACCCTCACCACTCTCTCACCACTCACCCTCACCACCCACACTCACCCTCACCACTCTCTCACCACTAACCCTCACCACTCACCCCACCCTCACCACTCACCCTCACACCACCCTCACTACCCACCACTCACCCTCACCACTCACCAATCACGCTCACCACTCACCCTCACCACTCACCCTCACCAATCACGCTCACCACTCACCCTCACCACACCACTCACCCTCACCACTCCAATCGTCGCAGATGCAATTATTCCTTTAAAAGAGGAGTGTGCTGGTGGTGGAGGGAGGTAGGGAGGACCACCCACTCACCTTCAGATACTTTCCCCGCAACTTCACGGCAGCGGGGCTCGCAATGCTCACAACAGGTCGCTGCTGTCGGCAGGCAACGCAGCAGCAGCTGTAGCAGCAACAGCAGCAGCAGCAACAGCAGCAGCAGTAACAGCTGTAGCTACAGCAGCAGCTGCTACAGCGTCTCGGCCTCGACTTGTGTAGCCCCTCCCCCTCTCGAGTCACATGACGTCATCCGTCCCTAGGCGGACGCGCTCATTGGCTACAGGATGCGCGTGCGTGACGTCATCACCCAGTGGGGAGTTCGCCGATTGGCTTACGTGGCAATGGAGGGGTGGGGGGGGGAATTTGTTGTGTGGTGACGTCACCCCCACAGCGGACCAATCGGGAGAGCGGAAAATTCTCGAGGGGGCGTGGCCCCCACGGAGGAGGACCAATGAGACGCGCGACTCGATTTTCTCTGCACGTGACTTCGGGTCAGAGGTCACGTGGTGTGAATGGCGACGTGGAAACTCTCCACACGTGACCTCCTCTTCCTCCACCTCGCCACGTGCAGCCACGGTGAGTGGTGGTGCAGTGGTTAGCGCACTTGTGTGTGTGTGTGGGGAGTGGTGGTGCAGTGGTTAGCGCACTGTGTGTGTGTGGGGAGTGGTGGTGCAGTGGTTAGCGCACTGTGTGTGTGTGGGGAGTGGTGGTGCAGTGGTTAGCGCACTGTGTGTGTGTGGGAGTGGTGGTGCAGTGGTTAGCGCACTGTGTGTGTGGGGAGTGGTGGTGCAGTGGTTAGCGCACTGTGTGTGTGGGGGGAGTGGTGGTGCAGTGGTTAGCGCACTGTGTGTGTGGGGAGTGGTGGTGCACTGGTTAGCGCACTGTGTGTGAGTGAGTGGTGGTGCAGTGGTTAGCGCACTGTGGTGTGTGTGGGGGAGTGGTGGTGCAGTGGTTAGCGCACTGTGTGAGTGGTGGTGCAGTGGTTAGCGCACTGTGTGTGAGTGTTGTTTTCCCATCTGCCCAGTTGCGCCGTATCTACTGAATGTGCGTTTGGAGTCTCAAGACCTCCTGGCGACGCTTTGCTGGGACCCCGTTGAAGTGGCTCCTGTGGGGGGTGGAGGAGAGAGACCCCCACCTGTTGACCCTTCAAGCATCAACTCCACCACCACCACCAACTCAACGTTCCTGAATGTCACCTACAGAGTTCAGAGCAAACTGTGAGATGCTCACTCACTCACTCAGCCACTCACCCATTAAGTCACTCACTCACCAACCCACTCGCTCACCAACCAACCCACTCACTCACCAACCCACTCACCAACCAACCCACTCACTCACCCGCCAACCCACTCACTCAGCCACTCACTCACTCAGCCACTCACTCAGGCACTCACCCATTAATTCACTCACTCGTCAACCCACTCACGAACCCACTCACCCACCAACCCACTCACCCACTCACCCACTCACTCACCCACTCACTCACCGACCCACTTACTCACCAACCCACTCACCCACCCACTAACCCACTCACCACACTCACCAACCCACTCACTCACCAACCCACTCACTCACTCAGCCACTCACTCACCCACCAACCCACTCACCTACCAACCCACTCACTCACTCAGCCACTCACTCACTCAGCCACTCACTCAGCCACTCACTCATTAATTCACTCACTCACCAACCCACTCACTCACCCACCAACCCACTCACCCACCAACCCACTCACTCACTCACCAACCCACCCACCCACCAACCCACTCACCCACTCTCTCCTCACCACCCTCACCACTGCTCCCTGTGTCTCTGTCTGCGCAGCTTCAGACGCGCCCTCTGGCAGACCGTCTGTGCTGCCACCAAAGACACGTGCTGCGACGTCTCTTCAGCGCTGGACGATGCCGGTGGCCGCTATCTCCTCCGCGTGAGATTCTCCGTCTCGTCCTCACCACCGCTGTCCTCACCCTGGGTCGCGCTTGAGGTCGTGGCCCTTGAGGGAGAGTGAGTGTCACGAGATTGTGCATATGCCTACGTCTCTGTGTGTGTTTCTCTGTGTGTGTGTGTGTGTCTCTGTGTGTGTGTCTCTCTGTGTATGTGTGTGTGTCTCTCTGTATATGTGTGTGTGTGTCTCTGTGTCTCTGTGTGTGTGTCTCTCTCTGTGTGTCTCTGTGTGTATCTGTGTGTGTCTCTGTTGTGTGTGTTTCTGTGTGTGTGTGTCTCTATGTGTGTCTCTGTGTCTCTGTGTTGTGTGTCTCTGTGTGTGTCTGTGTGTGTCTCTGTGTATGTGTGTCTCTCTGTGTGTGTGTGTCTCTGTGTGTATCTGTGTGTGTCTCTGTGTGTGCCTCTCTCTGTGTGTGTGTCTTTGTGTTGTGTCTGTGTGTGTGTGTCTCTGTGTGTGTGTGTCTCTCCGGTTGGAAACATTTAGGCTGGCCTGCCTACGATCCATCCTGGGTTTAACCAGGTTGGATTGTGTGAGGAGCTCACAAATCCTTGAAATATCTGGGCAAAGTCCCATCGGTGAGCTCCTCCGGAGACCATGTCTCTGTGTGTGTGTGTCTCTGTGTGTGTCTCTCTGTGTGTGTCTGTGTGTGTGTGTGTCTCTCTGTGTCTGTCTCTCTCTCTCTCTGTGTCTCTGTGTGTGTGTCTCTGTGTGTGTGTGGGTGTCTGTGGGTTTCTGTGTATGTCTGTGACTCTTTTTGCCTGTGAGTGTGTTCGGCTCACAGGGGAGATCATACAAACTCCACTCACTCACTCTGTAGAACAGGGGTAGATCATACAAACTACACTCACTCACTCTGTAGAACAGGGGTAGATCACAAACTCCACTCACTCTGTAGGACAGGGGAGATCATACAAACTCCACTCACTCACTCACTCTGCAGAACAGGGGGAATCATACCAACTCCACTCACTCACTCTGTAGAATAGGGGAGATCATACAAACTCCACTCACTCACTCTGTAGGACAGGGGGAATCATACAAACTCCACTCACTCACTCACTCTGCAGAACAGGGGAGATCATACAAACTCCACTCACTCACTCTGCAGAACAGGGGAGATCACACAAACTCCACTCACTCACTCTGTAGAACAGGGGGAGATCATACAAACTCCACTCACTCACTCTGTAGGACAGGGGAGATCATACAAACTCCACTCACTCACTCTGTAGAACAAGGGAGATCATACAAACTCCACTCACTCACTCTGCAGAACAGGGGAGATCATACAAACTCCACTCACTCACTCTGTAGAACAAGGGGAGATCATACAAACTCCACTCACTCACTCTGTAGGACAGGGGGAGATCATACCAACTCCACTCACTCACTCGTAGAACAGGGGAGATCATACAAACTCCACTCACTCTGCAGAACAGGGGAGATCATACAAACTCCACTCACTCACTCTGCAGAACAGGGGGAGATCATACAAACTACACTCACTCACTCTGTAGAACAGGGGAGATCATACAAACTCCACTCACTCACTCTGTAGGACAGGGGGAGATCATACAAACTCCACTCACTCACTCTGTAGAACAGGGGGAGATCATACAAACTCCACTCACTCACTCTGCAGAACAGGGGGAGATCATACAAACTCCACTCACTCACTCTGCAGAACAGGGGGAGATCATACAAACTACACTCACTCACTCTGCAGAACAGGGGGAGATCATACAAACTCCACTCACTCACTCACTCGGCAGAACAGGGGGAGATCACGAGCAAACTCCACTCACTCACTCACTCTGTAGAACAGTGGGAGATCATACAAACTCCACGCACTCCACTCACTTCTGCAGAACAGGGGAGATCACACAAACTCCACCTCATCACTCTGTATACAGTGGGAGATCATACAAACTCCCTCACTCACTCTGCAGAACAGGGGGAGATCACACAAACTCCACTCCACTCACTCTGTAGGGACAGGGGGAGATCATACAAACTCCACTCACTCACTCAACTCGCAGAACAGGGGGAGATCACACAAACTCCACTCACGTCCAATCTGTAGGACAGGGGAAGAGTCGATACAAACTCCAGCTCACCCACTCCCCCCACTCTCATCCCCCCCACGCAACTCAGCCCCACCACTCACCCCACTCTCCCTCCCACTCCTTCCCCCACTCTCCCCCCACTCTACCCCACTCTCCCCCCACCACTTCCCCCCACCTCCCCCCACCACACTCTCCCCCCACCACTTCCCCGCCGCACTCTCCACCCCACCACTTCCCCCCACTCTCCCCCCCCCTACTCTCCCCCCACCACTCCCCCCACTCTCCCCCCACCACTTCCCCCACTCTCCCCCCCCCCCACTCTCCCCCCACCACTCCCCCCACTCTCCCCCCACCACTCCCCCCACTCTCCCCCCCCCACTTCCCCCTCTCTCCCCCCCCCCACTCCTCCCCCCACCACTCCCCCCACTCTCCCCCCACCACTTCCCCCCACTCTCCCCCCCCCCACTCTCCCCCCACCACTCCCCCCACTCTCCCCCCACCACTTCCCCCCACTCTCCCCCCCCACTTCCCCCCACCACTCCCCCCACTCTCCCCCCCCCTACTCTCCCCCCACCACTCCCCCCACTCTCCCCCCACACTCTCCCCCCACCACTCCCCCACTCTCCCCCCACCACTTCCCCCCACTCTCTCCCCCCCCCACTCTCTCCCCCCCACTCCCCCCACTCTCCCCCCACCACTCCCCCCCACTCTCCCCCCTCTCACTCTCCCCCCACCACTCCCCCCACTCTCCCCCCACCACTCCCCCCACTCTCCCCCCCCCACTCTCCCCCCACCACTCCCCCCACTCTCCCCCCCCCACTCTCCCCCCACCACTCCCCCCACTCTCCCCCCCCCCACTCCCCCCACTCTCCCTCCCCCACTCTCCCCCCCCCCCACTCTCCCCCCCCCCCCCCACTCTCCCCCCACCACTCCCCCCACTCTCCCCCCACCACTCCCCCCACTCTCCCCCCCCCACTCTCCCCCCACCACTCCCCCCACTCTCCCCCCACCACTCCCCCACTCTTCCCCCCCCCCACTCTCCCCCCCCACTCCCCCCACTCTCCCCCTCCCACTCCCCCCACTCTCCCCTCCCCACTTTCCCCCCCCCCACTCTCCCCCCACCACTCCCCCCACTCTCCCCCCACCACTCCCCCCACTCCCC